GCTTGATAGGATCTAGGGTCGGAGGATCTTCATCAGGTTTGCAGATAAGCCCTCATTGCATTCTGTTCACAAGCCTCCTGAGTAGGTGGGAAATGACATGATATTCATAGATGAGAGAGCTGTGTCTTCTTCCAACTTTTATTTCCATACTTGAAGCGTAGCTCATGCATTGTAGATGCAGTGTGACCATAGCATGATGACAGAAATGACATAGATTATTGTGTTATTTCTTCAGAGCAGACAAATACCCAACATGATGAAGAGCCTAATAACCTTTCAACAATTTGACAACGCTAGATTTCCCCAACACCCCAGCACTGAGCTACTGTCACAATCTGCGAGAGCATGAGGTAAAAGAACTTTTGAGAACAACAGCAAAGAGTTTCTCAACTTTGGCTTTGATGTCAATGCACTTCTTTTTGACAGATGATATTGACTCCATTCATAGCTGAGTCAGGCACAGCTAGAAATGCAGTAGCAGCACAAACACATCAGCGTCGTCACACACCACTGTGATAGATGCACTGGTATATGACTCTGCAACATATATCACCTTCTGAACGATGATCTTGTCGATGAAAAATTAAACCAATGTTGACCTCCACAGGAATCTGGGAACATCCAGTTAATACTAGCTTGTGTGAGCAGACTTTAAATGATTCTCTTATTTCTTGCAGACAGTCTACTACTAGATCTATCAGTTGGACTTTGTTTAAAGTAACTGTGAGTTGAAACTGTTTTGATGGGAGGACAGAGAAATATTGTGATGTCGGTTGGCTTCTGTGTGACACCGTTGATGCTGTCATCAGATACCTGTCAAATACAAGGTACACACATGAAGTAACTTTGTCCAAGAATTATTTTACCATCAACGATAATGTTTTTGTAGTCCGAGACTTTCTGAAAATTCAATCTGCAATTGATTTTTCAAAGTAGATTCGATTGTGGCTGTTCTCGTAATACCTGCATCTGTATACACAGAAGCAGGCACTGGTGCCAAACTTTAAGACCTGGGGTATGTTAATGTCTCATCCTGAGGCCTGAAGTCCAGTGATTCTGGGGTAGATCAGAACTGTGTCATATAATAACGTGGAAGATCCAATCTGAACATGATTCTTCAAGACAGCCACAGTCTTAATCTTGTTTGACAAAAGCATATGCATTCCATCTGACCATTTCTTTCTGACCTGCTGTCAATGCCTTATCAACATTCACAGAACTATCTGTAACCTGCAGAAGTTTATCAGAAGTTTAGCTAGTGGATCACTTGACTCTTGGAGCTTCTGTCGATGTTTTTTTCCGATCAGTCGCATCTGCAGCAATTCTGGCTTTCATTTCTTCTTTGTGAACTTGACCAGTTGATTTGTCCTGGTTTGTCATGTCATAAATATCATTTGACCAAACACTGTAAATTCGAAATCTCAAGGCCCATGTCTTCAGTGTGTTTGGCTTTAAGGTGATGCCAATGATGCCATCTGGACCCTTTCCATATTTCATGAAAGTCGTTTCAATCATCATGCCTGTCCATATTCCGTTCCAAGTACCAGGTGTATGAAGCGTGACATGTTCCCCTTTGAGAACGTTTTCAAGCAGTTCTGGATTGAGATCTGCTGATCAAAGATAATAGAGACCGTAACGAGCATAGTTCTGATGTCAGCGGCAAAGAACTATAGCATTATCAGTTTTACTGCAAGCAAATGGGTTGGCCTACCATCCTCTTTTTCAGCTCTGAAAAACTGTAGCATCACCAAAACTGGCTTGATTAGCATATCCAATCATAGTTTGCTCTGTATGCCAAGATTTTCCGATAAATCATCTGTCTTATCACATTCCTTAATAGCTGTTCAACAAGTATTCCTAAGGCTCGTTAGTTTTGAGGGTATCTTTTATCTGACATCATGTTTGCTCCACTTCCAAAAGAACTCTCAAGAATGTCTGACAATCCACTTCCAGCCATCAGTGTGCCAACACTTCAAAAAAAATTCACAAGGAAATGCATTCCTCCAATACGCAGAAAGAAATTATGGAATCTTTCGGGGTATGCCAATGGAATGTGTACTGCCACCCTGTACTGTTGTTGGTCATGCTCACACGTGAAAACAACAATATCTTGTCCAACTTGTTTGGTCAGTTTGTTAGCTTCCGTCATAGCAGTTAGGATGGTGTCAGGGCCAACCGGTTTAATGTGTAACTCGTAAAAACTAACGTTGTTTTTTATCTCTTCTGTTCAGTGTGCACTATTGTATCAATTCGATTCTGAACAGGGGGTGTCTTGAACAACTTCAGACAAGAGGTCAACATCCCTAACAGTTGCGCGTGATGCTGAGACTACCTGCGTGGCTAAAAGATTTCAGTAGTAACGTTGTCTTCGTGATGCTGTCCTTAGGCATGTGTGGCTTTTTCGGACCTGTGTGTCATTCTGTGGTATTTGTTTAGTTTCTTGCCTTTCTTGTTTTGGAAGTGTTTTCATGGAATAAGTCAAATCATCATCTCCAGTTTCAGCAAGAACCACCTTAAAGGTGTCTGTTGCAGTTTCACGGAAGAGCAAATAATACTAGCCACTCTCCTTATAATCAGTTCATCGGCAGAGCACCTTCATATTTCTTCATTAAACTGTCTCTCTGAAAGTATGACCCCATCATTCTCTCGACTGGTTGTATACTTCTGTGGAATTTCTAATTTGCTTCCAATCAGCATTCGCTGATCTGATCACACAATGAAATGATGCACCTGAGCTTGACTGAGTTCCTTTGAATGTTGAAGTAGCTAATTGTTCAGATATAGGGTCCATAAAAGTTTTCTACTCCTGTCATGATATCTTGCTTCTGCAGCATGAAGATCGCTAATGGCTCCATCTACTCTCAGTCGTACTTCATCTCCCCACTTATCTTGGCGTAAATCGTCCCAATAATTATATTCTTGAATGGTCTTTGGCAATCATCTGCATATCTACAAAGAAACGATCTCTTCCATCGTCCAGGATTTCTAGAGTCTTTTCACTTTCACATGGGCTCCAACAGAATAAACAATGTTTTAAAAAGCTGAAGTTAGCGCCTGAATCTGAACAACGGCTTCTCTTTTTGGATGGTTATAGGATGCATATTGAGGTTTGACTTTGATGTGTAAGTAGAAACACAGCTTTTGTGGTAAAATAATCCATTAACTTCAGAAAAGAAGAATTCTTTTGTTCAATTTCTAAATGTAGGTCATGAAGATGTGATACGTTTGCTTGTTGAATTAGCTTTAAGCTTCTGACTTAGGGTACTGCAACAGCTAACCAGCTTGAATAAACATTCCTCAACCCCAGACTAAAATTAAAGAAAGGATTCATTATTTCTCTTGAAATATACAAAAATGTAAATAAAATATTGAAAGGTTAACTATATAATCTTGATAATGTTTCAAAACGTTTAAAATTCAAATATAAATGAAATTGAATTTATGAAACATTAGCCGCATCAATTATTTAACATATTTACAGTCCAGACTGTACATATAATCAATATTTCTTTTGATGAAAATTATGTAACATTTCCTTATATTCTCTGTATATTACTTGTGGGGGCTCATTTTTGCCAAATACATCTTGTCCTTTGAAGTTTGATGAAAAACATCATAGTTCACATGAATATAGTATCTAGAAACCAAATCACTTTGGTCCATGTTATTTGTCAATTTAGAGATAAAAATAAAATAAAAACCTCCCTTACTTGCACAGACAATAGAGACACTATGGCAGTATCATTAGTTGTTCAGAGAGTAGTATGTACAGTTTTCACCAAACTATCAATTCATGTGGAAGGCGACATTTTTGCCATGAAATATGGTTTTCAAACATGAATATATGAATGCATCTATAAGATATTCAAATAGATTTCAACAACAGATATAATACAGCTTTTCATTACAGTGGTATGCTTGGCTCAGCAGGACGACACTTCACTAGTTTGAAAATTGTTCTGAATATGTCCCCCTACTTTTCAATCATACAATTACACTGGATTACTGTAGTGTATATGTCATAAATGAGTTGGACAATAAAAATGAGCTACCATTGTGCCATATCATTTGTACAGATGAGGTAGAAGATGAGTAACTAATGTCAACTATAAAGGAAGAACTCCATGTTGTACTACTTACCGAACAACTTATTTTGCCTCCACATGGTCCTCTGCTGGCGCTGGAGATTCCAGGGTATATTTTCAAACCCATTTTATTCGAAATGCTAAAGGGTGCCAAGTTGGCATCCAGTTTCTTGAAATACATAGCTTAAACGTATACATCAGCAATATAATACTGTGGGACCTCAAATGCAAGGTAAGCATTGAGTTCATTCTGAGTCATTCTGAGTCATATCTGCGTAATCCCTTACCACTGTTGAACGTCTATTTTTTTACCTCTTTTATGGCCAGATGAATTATAAAATAATGAATTGCTACATAACTGATTTTGGGGATTGAAACAGGCTGATCAGTTCAGTCAAAATTTATCAAGTTATTTTTTTTTTACCATAGCAATCAAACGCTAAGGATTTTGTTTTTGGTCATTGCCGTTACCACGTCTTATTGCACTAATCGAACTTCAAAACGTACTTTTCCTCGGTCGTGATTCTTTCACTGGAGGATATAATATTCAAACTACTTGATTTCAAACTGTAGTCATGTCATCATCCAATAAAATCTGGACATATATAATTATGGGATATTACTCTTTTAACATAGCATACACATATAATTTATGTTATGTGTGTATTTTGTGTATAATGAATCACATTAAACTATACCATTTCATATCACATATGACTACACACGGCCAATCTTGTGCCCACCCCAGTAAACCATGCTTGTGGTAAAAGCCGACTAAATTAGGCTTTGCGTGGAGGCAATTTGTAATATTCTGACGGCGTATTGCGGATTATATGTTCTGACTAATCGCCAATATTTACTATGAAAACTGTGAAGTTGCAGAGTCTTTTACACTACAATAACTGACTAACTCACCTTGTACTCCTTCTCCGTCTCCGCCAGTATCTGCAGTGCCCGACTTAGTTCAAAGGCTGTCCCTATTGGGTCATCACTGGACAGTGACAAGTAGGCCGAGCTCCCTAGGCCAGTGTAGGCATTCAGTCTCGACCGGGAATGGACAAAACGGTCAAATGTTTTGTGGTTAGTACACTCTGTACACAGACAAAAGTAATGATGGGGTGTTTGAATAGTAAATCCTTTCTGAATCAACATGTGAACAATGTCAAAATTATTACACTGGGCAGCTAACACAATTGGAGTTATATCTGGCGCGAAGCTGGAACTACTTTCCTCTTGATCATAGAAGCCATGCTGAAATTCCAACTCCATCCGAGCTCGTTTGTCCGAGTAGATTGGATGTGCCAGGAACATGTCACAAACTTTTACATTCTCGGTTTTGATGGCGTGAAGAAGTCCTTCTTCAACCACATCAAGGCTACACCTGTCCAAAAGGAACTGTATGGCTTCATAGTGCTCGCCGAGAACAGCCAACTGTAGACCTGTGCGGCCTAGGTAGTCGCGACAGTTCAGGTTCAGGGAACCATTTTCCCGGATACACAGCTGTACCTGCTCTAGGTTCCCTGTCTCAGCTGCTGTGAGGAAACGACGTTCTGTATCAGTGAGAGGGACGTCGCCGAAGATGCCCCTAGCGACAAAGTCTTCGCGTGTGTCTTCGCCTTTCGTCTGTTTCTGGTCTTTGGTCTTCTGGTCCCTCTTGTCATTCGACAGCTTACGACTGAGCGATGCTTTTCGTGACAATGATTGACGACTCATTGTCGTAACTGTTCTTTATCCGACAGTGTATTACTTTTATGTACTGGTATGCAGCACCCGACGAAGCAAATGGTCATCTAAATTTATAGTTTCTTTGTATTCATCTTCCACAAAACAAAATTTACACCAGTACACTAATATCATCGTGGATCCAATTACACTACAATCTGCTCAAAATCAAACTTGTTTCACTTTGTAAATACCCTTTCAAGCTATTTCATTCCACATGCCGTCCAATATTTTCCATCAACAATACCTGCAAAATAATATTAAAAAACTGTATATAGATGAAGATACATATAAGCCTTTGAAATAATATTATATATATATGCCAATTGCTCATAGACGCTCAGACACCGTATCGCTGGTTCATATACAAAAAATGAATGACATCAAGAGAAATCACAACTGTAAGATGAGCATAATCATTAAGATATTTTATGATTAAACGACCCTCCTTGAAAGTGTAAAGAAACAGGAATGACACCCTAAACACAAGTTTTTGTATTTTCTAAAGGCAAAAACAAATTGGATAGGACACTATCTTTGTTCTAATACTTCATCATCCTCTACCATCATCCTATATATTATATTATATATATACTCGTGTTTAGGGTGTCATTCCTGTCATGCTGTGTGCATGCTTCAACGGATGGACAGCGAATATTCTTCTTCTTCTTCTTCTTATTATTATTATTATAATAATAATTATTATAATACAGATTAATTAAATATATGATCGGGTGATACTGGCACAGTCAGGCTGGTTAGACTCATCATCAGCTCAGAGCCCGATATACATGCAGCCCAGACAGCGAATAATGCAATCTCACTGTATTTAGCAGCCCTTGCGTTATTTCCCACGACAAATCCTTAACTATTGCAGGATTCAAATTTCAAGGTAATAAAATCGGAAATACGCCTACATCTGCAGTACACGGGCATCCTTTGGCAGACCTTTACCATAGATCTATAATTGACTTAACTAGTAATTGAAGAAGAAATAACGAACAGAATATAACATCTGACACCTGAATTCATTTGTTTTAACTCTGACAATATGTTTTAGAAATATACCTCACATTCCATGCTCTATCCTGCTTCAGCTATATATCCTGATTTTCATTCAACAGTACTTCAAGACAACTGAAGTATTAAATGTATTTATTAGATATTATTATGATATTGCATGTTTGCTTTTAAAAAGGTTCCAATAAAGTATTTTTATCATGGCATAAAGGCACATTTCACCCCACAAACATTCCATGTTGATATGACTAAATATATTTATTTATATGGTATTTTTTAAATTTTAATAACAAATTATACTTATATATAATGACTGCTAAAATGTCGTGCATGTTATGTAATGTTAGTACCCATGCACAATTTTGCAATTTAATCAAATAAGATTTTAGCAATGTGCAATGCAGATACCAGTGGATGTAAAGAGAAGAATGAGCATTGACCTGTTTGTGTGGGAATTTGAAAATCTAATGTAGAAAAATGTAAATCATTTGAGGTTTATAATACTGTTTAAGCAATCATCATTATAGAGATTGAAAATTAGTTTGAATATAGTGCTTTTAATTAATATGATGAAAAATTGTAGAGGGTAAGTACCCTTGAATATACATTTAAACTATATTTAGGCTCTTCTGTGTCTTGAAAAAAATATAATTTTCAAATAGTCAACATTTTATTGCCATAATAATATATTGTATTTATCATATCTGAAATGTACTCTTGGTGGTAATGGGCAATGTCCACCATCCATCCATGCAATCGTTATATACACCATGCACCAATTAACCCTTACAAATACCAACATGGATTTCAGTGATTTCATCTCTTTTATTTTGAACATTGTATTATGTTATGTTGTTGTTTCTTGAACATTTATCCTCACCTCTATCATTTATATTATATACCTGCTAAATACTCGTGTTGCTGTCAAAATTCACAAAATTTACAGACGAACTTTACGTTGCATAAGACCTTCACATTTCGTGTGCCGCATCTTGCACCTTGGCGGTGAGGTGCTTGTCTGTAGCCTCGTCGACGATAATACGCCATAGATATGGGTAGTATACAATGAAAATATGCTTGATCAATTGCAACATGTCAACAAAGCGACTGAATGGGATTGAACGATCAGTTGATCCCACCGTCTCACTTCGAACTTACGGCCATCAAGTGGTTATATATAATAACAGTCATAGTCATCCCTGATGCATCGTTGAATCAAGGAACAAATATTGCAGGTCATGACAATGTATTGTTTAGGCGAAAGGTGTCCATACTCCAGCGTGAACGCTGCCGATAGAGGTGAAGGCTATACTGGTTAACTATCTATAGGTGTGATAGTAACACGTACCGCAAGTATTGCGCATACATGTACCACGTGCGCTGTAAGTTTAAGGTTGTACCGCTCCGGTCCGGTCAGCGCACCTAGCGGGTTAGTGAAAGAAAGATCAATTGAACAAGATACTGCATGATGTCATAGATGTATATCCACAAGAACATAAGTCATTTGAGCAAATTGTTAAAATAAGCATGGGTCTCTGACCTTTGGAAAATGGACAAACTTGAGGAACATTCAGTGATCAAGTACTTGCTGATAACGGAATTAACAACAAGAGCCATCTATGAATATAGGTGCAGAACACAATGGAAGGGTGCCCGTTCCCACTGCCACTGTAAGGAGGTGGGTAGAAGGATTTCAATATTGCAGGGAGAGCCTTGAAGATAACCCCTGCCCTGGAAGGCTTGACGCATCAGCGACATCAGCAATGATCTAGAGAATGTGGGGATGACCGACAGGCGAATAACAGAGGATTTTTATTACTGGTATTTTGTGACTAGAACTATGTTTCCTAGGTGTCCAGTTACATTGTGTCCTGTAACATTACACAGCTGACCTTAACATTACACAACACACCTAATCATAACACAGTATACCTAAACATTACACAGCACACCTAGACATAACACAGCACTTCTAAACATTACACAGTTGACCTAAACATTACACAGCACACCTAGACATAACACAGCACACCTAAACATTACATAGTTGACATAAACATTATACAGCTGATATAAACATTACACAACACACCTAAACATTACACAACACACCTAAACATTACGCAGCTGACCTTAACATTACACAACACACCTAATCATAACATAGTGTACCTAAACATTACACAGCACACCTTATTATAACACAATATACCTAAACATTACACAGCTAACCTAAACATTACACAGCACACCTTAACATTACACAACACACCTAAACATTACACAGCACACCTAAATATTACACAGCACACCTAAACATTACAAAACGCACATACAAATACACAACACACCTAAACGTTACGCAGCTGACCTAAACATTACACAGTACACCTTAACATTACACAGCTGACCTAAATACATTGTATTACACAACACACCTAAACCTTACACAGCACACATAAACATTAGACAGCACGCCTAAACATTATACAGCTGACCTTGACATTGCACTGCTGACCTAAACATTACACAGCACACCTAAATATTACACAGCTGATCTAAACACTACACAACACAACTAAATATTACACAGCTGATCAAAACATTACACAATACACCTAAACATTACACAGCTGACTTGAATATTGCACAATACACCCAAACGTTATACAGCACACATAAACATTACACAACACACCTAAACATTACACAGCTGACATTAACGTTTTACCGCACACCTAAACATTACGCAACACACCTCAACATTACACAGCTTACCTAAACATTACACAGCACACCTAAACATTACAAGCTAACCTAAACATTACACAGCACACATAAACATTACACAGCACACCTTATCATTACACAACACACCTTAACTTTACACAGCTGACCTAAATTTTACACAACCCCTCCTAAACATTACACAGCACACCTAAACATTGCACAGCACACCCAAACATTACACAATACGCCTAAACATTACACTGCTCACCTAAACATTACACAACTCACCTAAACATTACACAGCTGACATAAACATTACACAACACACCTAAACATTACACAACACACCTAAACATTACAAGCAAACCTCAACATTACAAGCTGACCTAAACATTACACAACACACCTCAACATTACACAGCGCAATAAACATTACACATCACACATAATCATTACACAACACACCTAAACATTACACAGCACACCTAAACATTACACAGCACCCCTAAACATTACACAACACACCTAAACATTACACAGCCCCCCTTAACATGACACAACACACCTAAACATTACACAGCACACCTAAACATTACACAGCTGACCTAAACATTACATAGCTGACCTAAACATTATACAGCAGACCTAAACATTACACAGCACACCATACATTACACAACACACCTAAACATTACACAACACACCTAAACGTTACACAACTGACCTAAACATTACAAAGTTGACCTAACAATTGATGTGCAATATTTGCCACGACCACCATCGTTAACCCGCTGGTCCTGAGATAAAACGCAGATGTCAATTAAAAGGTGTGATTAGTATTTCTGTATACCGGTCATAAGACGTGGGGTTTACTTTGTAAAACAAATTGAAATAGGAAATGTCTATGAGTAGGAATTGTAGTAAACAAAGATGTTGATCACATCTTCTTGTTGAAAAAAACAAGTTAAGTTTGTCTACATGAATGGCACTTTTAACTGATATCATCACTATAGAAACAGTGTTGTTTAAAAAATTCAAAATCATGTTAAAATATACAAATGACATAATCATGAATATTGTCTTGCATCTTTGTCGCGGACATTGATTCCTAACGAGTAGAACCTTGTGAACCAGAAAGCGACACTTATAGAACATAAGCTCCGAGCCTAGGACATTGATTCCTTAGAATTAGAAGTCTCTCAAAAATGAACAACGCAGTGTAATAAAGTTCCTTACATGTTCCGGTTCACAAGCCGAGAATTGCACAGGCCGCCATATGTGAATGTGGATTCGAACAGTTACATCACCCAACCTACAGCCCAGACTTAGCCAATGACGATTTCCTGTTCCGGCAAATGAAATCTGCCCTACGTGGAAGACGCTTCCAGGATGACGAGGACATAAAGGCTGCCACAGAGGCATGGTCAGAGGGCCAATCTGCGGATTTCTGTAAAAGTGGTGTTAAAAGCTTGAAGGACAAATGGAATAAGTGTATTGAGGTAAATGGAGATTATATTGAAAAATAAAAGTGCAAAAGATATTCTGCGACTTGGTCTTATATTGAAGTTGCAAAACTTATTGAACGCCACTCGTATGAAGCGCATTTCGCCGTGATAATGCTGGAATATTGCTAAAAGCGGCGTAAAACCATGCTCACTCACTCGAAGAAGCACACACAATAGAGGTGTATTAGGTAATGCATGTGAAGAGCCATGATGCGTAATCACGTAGTTTCAGCAGCATAGTAAGTTTTAATAAAAAAACACTCTATTTAAAAATCAGTTTCCCTGGCGCCTGTTTTGCCAAGACTGTTATATTATCAAGAGCCATTACGAACGTATGACCACAAAGGTACAGACAATGAACAAATATCTCAGTAATTATGTCGTGCAAATATCGAATACATTACGTTCCGATAGATAGACATTGGTGTCCTATAATCAGTGTCTAGTACTTTCTTTACATCGATAGCATAAATCATAATGAATAGGCTTTCCCTTTGCGAGTTCATCGGAGTATGAACGTGCATAGAGTGAGTATCAAACGGAGCTTGCGAACACACACAAAATGGAACACAATTCTTATAAATTCTTATACATGTATTACTTTTTTTCTACCACTAGGGATGAGTTACCCAATTTCATTTAGTTCGTGCAGAGACCAAGAAATCTATTTTATGGAATACGTGGAATAAAATAGTTCATCAAAAGGAGAAGTTACTTGCGCGTATGCATGCTCCAATTGCTCCACGATAACATCTCATGGAGTTTGGTTACAACAAAAACATTCATATAATAGCATCAATAGATGAAAAGGATCTCTTGAGAACTACATCAGTATGTTGGTCACAGTGACGGCGCTTCGTAAAACATATACATCAAATACAGGACGTCAAAATGGCCGTCTTGAACCTGTGGCGGTGACAAGTGATAGTTACTTTTGATCAATTGACTGACCATTGAAATTATGATTTATATAGGTGTGGCAAACAGATACTAAGGTAAATTTATAGTTAGCTGAAGACTGTCACCTATCTGTCTAGACACAGATCGAATCCAAAGTTTGAATAATTATACATTTCTTTGTTCACTGAGATGGGTCGTAGCGAGGATATTCTTGAACGGGCGTGCAGTTAAATCTCTGACTTATCCCAATGTATGCTAAAACGCTAATTTTAGGATTAAAGGGTCTAAATGTTCAGAAACAACACTTCTGTATTTATTCATGCCAGGGAATTCAAAGAGGTTTTCCCTGGAATGCGGAAGTAGTCCGTTAGTGTTTACGTTAATTTAAGAAAACAGTCTCGGGAAAAAACGTAGGAACGTCAAAATATGTCGTTCACATACGTCAGTTTCACGGTCATTTAACCGACCTATCGTCCAATGGAAAAAAACACATATCGTTTAAACTTCACATTAAAAAAATTATTGCGTTTGAGGAATCTACGATTAAACTACCCTCTCAGAAATAAACTCAAGATTAATTTTAATCACTTGAATGATGGGACATGAATAAACTTTCAATGTTCGTATGTTTTTCTTTCAGAACATTTCCTTAGTCGTCTGCACATGAGATGGCGGCGCTCTCTAATCCAAGGTGATCACTGTCTAGACGTTGAACAAAGGAATTCTAACATCCCCTCACACTCTAACCCTCCACCCACTAAACGCACCTGTGTTATGCTACTTGAGAGATGTGCCTCTTGAAATGTTATGGTTACACACCTGAAAACTATCAATATAAATGTTCTTTCTCTCTTTTGATTTTGTAACAAGATATCTTCACGCTGTAGGTTTCAGGTGGCCTTTGCAAATCAATGTTATGCATTTGCAGTTTACATACTTGCCGCGTTCAGATGGGCGTAGTTTGGAAGTACGATAATACATTGAAGTTGTACAGTATATATTATATTTTATAACGTGTCTTTTCCTTGGCGATTTTTTCTGAAACCCAACAAAAATCAGCCTGGAACAAATGATATTTTCTGTCGACATTTGAGAAAAAGAGGAAATGCAGAGTTTCAGTTATATGTCATATAATGAGACACATTTCACATTTATGTTATGTTTGGGTGCAGAGTCGCGGAACTAAATGCCACAACCCACTAAATGACAACCTAAAGGTTAAGCCTATGTTCCGTTTATATATATAGGTGAAATTAGGCATACCATATCGCATAGTACATCATACATGTAAATCTAAGGAGAGTCAAATAAACAGATTCGGGTTTCACTTACTCCTTATGCTCGCATCTTCATGATGAAAGTAACTGTCCTTCCGACGGTCTCCTGTTTATCCCCACATACTCCTTTGTTATTAGAGTGTATCACGCCTTCTTGATACTTCGACAGATTGCTCTGTTAGCGAAGATTTAAGAAAAGCATTAAAAAATACATTTCCAACTGGAGACTGAATACCACGAATGAAAATACAGGACCATACATATTCCAACATGCTACAGAAACCAAGACACCATTGGTGGATCAAATACCCACGTTGCGCAGACATTCATTCCTTACGGATCATAATGATTTCCATTCCTTTCTCGAGATACTGAAGACTACCCAGCAACCCAAGATGGCAGCGTTGCCTAGCAACATGGAACCAATAGGTAGGGTGTAATTCCTGATAGAAGGAAACGTTCCTCTACACGAAGATAGGTAACACAGTAATGTTTCCCCGTCTACAGATCTCAAGCAATGAAGTATTAGGAATAGTCTAGGTGTTTGTTTGTTTCCCCGTCTACAGATCTCAAGCAATGAAGTATTAGCAATAGTCTAGGTGTTTGTTAACCGGTCACATACTTCTGGTCCAAGACATGACAGTGTTTGCATGATTCGAGTTTAGTGCAAACATCGGGCGGTTGAGAACACGTATTTGATCGATATGTGCTGACTTGTTCCGAGCAACAGGGAATTATAACTCTCGGCACCAAGGGACTATTTCTTTTTGACTTTGAGGATCTATCTATCTATCTATCTATCTTTGTTCATCTACATAATGTACCACGGATCATATCTAAACATATGACGTATAAGATAAGGAAATATATGGAAATATTACAGGCTAAGGTAACATAATAGTGTGTTTTGCAGCATGCAGCATGTATAGAAAATACGCATTTGCAAACATGTGTTCCACGTACAAGACGTGATAAGAGAGTACACACAGGTGTATGCTGACGACACCTGCTTGGGAGTAAAAATATTACTAAACGTTTTCAGTGCAAATGTATACAGTGTAAATATTAGTTATATATAGATCATCGTTTACTACTACTACCCTTACTACTCTTACTACTACTACTCTTACTACTACTACTACTACTACTACTACTACTACTACTACTACTACTACTACTACTACTACTACTACTACTTGTAACATTAATAATAATAATAATATGCTGTTGTTGCTGTTTCTTCAACCATATTAGTATTACTACTACCACCACTACTACTACTACAACCTCAAACACCACCACCACTACTACTACTACTTCTACTATAATATTACTACCACTACTACTATTACTATCACTACCACCACTACTACCACCACTACTACTACTACTACTACTACTACTTCTACTACTACCTCCAACATCACTACTATTACTACGACCACTACTACTATAATATTACTACCACTACTACTATTACTATTACTACTACTACTACTACTACGACTACTATAATATTACTACTACCACTACTACTATTACTATCACTGCCATTACCATTACCACCACCACTCACACTAGTACCACTACCACTACCAATAGTACTACTACTACTACTACTACTACCACTGCTACTACCACGACTACTACAACAACTACTACTTCTACAGTCACTATTACTACTACCACTACTTCTACTACTATTATAACTACTACCATTACTATTGCTACGACTAATACTACTACTACCACTACTACTTCTTCCACTACTACTACTACTACTACTACTACTACTACTACTACTACTACTACTACCACTACCACTACTAACACCACATACTAATACTACTACACCAGCAAGGACTAATGTTGCTACAGACGGCTTGGGGCGACACCAGCAGTCATATGTTGATGCGTTTACAACACACTGCAGTTGCTGCAAAATGCACAAACTGATGTTACAACAACCCAATTATTCAGTAAAAATAGATAAATTTTACAAGAAAACGTACAACGTTCTGTTTGCAGGAGGAGTGTATTTTCGGAAAATAATCGTGCGATTAACACTTTGTTATTCAGAATTAATTGGTCTCCAGTGCCATTCCCTGCCTAGTTGTTACAGCAGCCTGTCCTGACCTTGGTTACGACTGGTCCGGTATGTGTGTGTGCATGGGAATGTTGACACGCCTCCGTTGAAGTTTTGGCTTTCTTAAAGACTCAAATGGGCATGCTGTTTTCGAAATAACATGAAACGAGTCTTTTCAGATGGGGGACAAAACTCTACCGTGCAGGACGTCACATAATAATACCAGAGAAACAAGGAGACAAAAGTTGTGCGCCATACTCCGATATCTAACTTCGGTGATCAGTGTAATGTATGTCCTTTTGTTCAACATTCTTCCAAATCATATGATTACTTGTGAGGCGCTGATTGAATTGTGATCTGGACAAATTTATGCGTTATTTCAGCGTACGTTGTGGTGTTTTTTCCAATGTACATTTCATTACAATGGGAGCATTTGATAACATGAAATATTTCTTTTGATATTTCTATTGCAATTAATTATATCTTGTCATGTGCTATCAATTTAGATGGCCGCATTTATAAATAATCAGCTAATTCGAATTTTGAGGAAGGTAGCAGTTTTCGCAAAATACGAGGTTATTTGGGATTTTATTTACCCGTCTATAGATGCATATGTTTGTATATTTGTTTTTGCTTTAAGTATGCATCGGTTAGTTTCTTAGTTTCTCTGTATAATGGGTCGCTATAGGGATGAAATAACGCCGATGCGACGTTCAATTTTAACTCACTCACTCACCGTTTAATGGACATGGCATTTCGACTGGTTCTCTGTCCACGTTTCGAAACGACTGGCCAAAACACCAATGTTGTATTTTTCTGTTTGCATAATTATTGGCCCTCAACCATTGATCTCTGCTTCTAGTTTGGCTGTCCCGGGCACATCGTGCCACAACCATTGATCTCTGCTTCTAGTTTGGCTGTCCAGGGCCCATCTTCCACCTCCATTGATCCCTGCTTCTAGTTTGGCTGTCCCGGGCACATCGTCCACCTCCATTGATCCCTGCTTCTAGTTCGGCTGTCCCGGGCCCATCGTCCACCTCCATTGATCCCTGCTTCTAGTTTGGCTGTCCAGGGCACATCGTCCACCTCCATTGATCCCTGCTTCTAGTTTGGCTGTCCAGGGCACATCGTCCACCTCCATTGATCCCTGCTTCTAGTTTGGCTGTCCCGGGCACATCGTGCCACACTTCATATTAAAACAACATGGCTGCAAGAATGAAATCAATCCCCAAACCCAGTTCTCAGAACAGTTATGAGAACATAGAACTCTAGGACTACGTACAGGCGTTCCCCATAATTTAGGGAAAACAAACACCAATTGAACATGTATGTGAGTTGTGCGTCTCTCATCACATCACACGTGCTATCCAGTCGACGATCTTAACCACAGATCATGCTTATGTTGGCTAGAAATCGTCAACAGATGTCAGCACCTATTTCCGTTAGCTGCATATGTGTGCTCTCCAGAGGTGGATGTAGGAGCCAGAAAAAGTGCTGTGGTAAACATGGTTTCGGCAATTGGGTTGGTATGTCCAGATTGGTTGGTGGGTGATAGATTACTAAAAGCTCTCGCACTGGACACGTGGAGATCTCCCACACGAGTTCCACACATGACACATAGAAATCGCACACGCATCTCACAAAGGACACATCAATATCATCAACAAATATCTCACACAGTACACGTGGACCATTCATAACTATTTCACACAGCATACATAGAGATCACCCACGCGAATCTTACACACGAAGATCACCCACACTAGACACACGGAGCTCGCCGACACGTGTCACACAAGACACACAAAGATCGCCAACACGTGTCAACCTACAAGACAACCAGAGATAGCCCACACGTGTAATACAAAATACACAGAGATCGCCAACACGAATCTCACACAAGATACACGGAGATCGCCCACATGTGTTACAAACAAGATACACGGAGATCGCCCACATGTGTTACAAACAAGACACACGGAGGTCGCCACACACGTGTCACAAATATAACACACGGAGATCGCAAACAGGAATCTCACACAAGACACACGGAGGTCGCCCACACGTGTCATATAAGTGAGTGAGTGAGTATGCTTTTACGCCGCTTTTAGCAATATTCCAGCAATATCACGGCGGGGGACACCAGAAATGGGCTTCACACATTGTACCCGGCGTGACGAGCGAACGCTTTAACCACTAGGCTACCCGACCGCCCCGTCTCGGAGAAGACACACGGCGATCGCAAACACGAATCTCACAACACGTGTCATACAAGACACACGGAGATCGCCCACACGTGTCACACAAAAGACACAGAGATCGCACACACGTGTCACACATGCACGGAGAACTTACACAGAACACAATCACATTGAGGCTGCAACCTGCACAGTTATCAAGATGTAACAAGCTCGTTTGTGTTACGAGCTGCGATGTTGCTGTTTATAGAAGCGCAAAAACGACAAGCTTGTAATGGAAATATTTATTTCTGCATTGTCATCATGGACTAGTTGTATACAAATCGTACATATGTTCACAATAAACCCCGCGCCCTACAGTAGTCACTCTTTATGGCATTTCAAATCGTGTAATACCCCATCCTATTCTACCCTTCATGACATTGTATGGTGTATCGAACAGCAGACATTAACATCATCTGATTGGATGCATTTGGAATGTGACGAATCAACCGAAAAGTGGCAGTAATTCGGCGACATCACGGCGGATCTATTCCAGTGTTAGCGTAGAGCCCAACAGGATGTAGGTCGGGGACGTTTGGCCTTCAGCAATTAACCCATGCTTGTCGTAACGGGATCGGGTGGTCAGGCTTGGTTTTTAACTAGAAACTAACACACAAACAATTTCCAACACCCATCGGCCTCTGGTCCTAACGACGCTATGATGCCTCCGACGGCTGCAGACAGACACCCAGACAGATGTACACATGTCATTGGAAGCATAACAGCGTCGTTAGGAACAGAGGCCGTGGGGTGTGGGATTAAGATACGTGATGTGACTCAATCACCAGTAATATTATCGTATCCTCAGTAGCTATTCGTTACCGCCCAAACGGGACGTGGATTTCAAAGTTCTATATGCATTTGCCGAGAGCATACTTCCCATAGAGAGAGGCGCTAACCAGCCCGTGGGCTACGAACTCGATGGACTATTTAACCTGTACACAATGATGCAAAACCTTGAACCAAGGCTCACTTTTACCCCCCTCTCATTAAAATAGCATCGTCCAACATCAGTTCGTGCACATGCATCTGCTAAAACTATGGACACGATAGCAATGTAAGTAGGGTCTAACACAAGTTTGTTGTCTTTTCTCTAGAAGTTTCTACAGTACACTTCTATGCTACTACAGATAGTGTACTAAGCTTCTAAATAGTCACAACTATTTCCCGCCTGCATTTTCGGCCGCGATCTGTTTCCGGACTGTAATTAGAATATCTTCAGCGCCGTTTTTAATCATCCTGTCAGCTAATTCTGTGCCTAACCTCTCGGCAGCCTGAAAGAGGCGGGGGTCGTTGCACCTCCCAGTAACAATGCAAGAGTACTGCTTCAAGTCGGAACTCTGCTCCTGAAACAAACACAATTTTAATTTAAGCATGATGCTTGCTTTCCACGTGGTAAAAGGAATCCCATGGGGTTCATACTATAATGTGACGTTACAGCAGGGGCTGTTCTATCCGCAGGTCCATCGGTGTCCGCACAATTCTGTATGGGATCGAAAAGTAAAACGGGTGTGGCACACGTGTCCCAAATGTACTGATATGGAGAATTTTAGATGCCCCAGTGTATTTTCTACAAAAGCGATATTTATGGATACAGATACGGGTAAAAAACCCAGTGTAAATGGCCAATTAGGCAACTGGGTCAGCTGTGCTCCCAAATATAAAGAAATAATCAATTAAGATATAGTTTGCAGTTCAATTAGGATATCAACTTGAACTGGAATACAGAACATAAAGTGGTCAAATTCTGGAATCAATGACGATGTTTACTAAGTATTTCATTTACTAAGACGTCCCATTTTAATTCTGGAAACCTATTCGTCCAGACACTCTCCTTGCTGTGGACAGAGTTTTCGAATATTTTATTTTCATTTTTTCTTCCTTAGTATGTACCCATGAAAACAGCATGTTCAATTTTGGAATTACCTTTGACCGAGACTGTCAACAGCAAGGAGAGTTTCCTCATCAAATAGGTTTCCAGAATTAAAATGAGACGTGTTTACTCAATAATTTACACAGTGATACTTGACTGCCTCACGTAGCTACATAAGTGCAACAATCTTGAACGCGACTTTATACCCCATTTCACCTCACCTCACTTCAATTACTATCAAATCATCGTGACAGACACCAATAATTCTTACTAGAGAAACTGTAGCCACCCGTGCAAGGTTTGTCTTCTAAGTACCCCCCAACTACCACGTTCTGATGCAGTAGCCAACAAGTCATATGTGAAGTGGTGGCGATGTGATTAAATTCTAAAATTATACATTCTCTCAGCCGTGTAGCTGTTCTCCTGTCCATAGTCACGCTTGCCAGGAAACAGTTATGGAACTGCAAGACGGTGTTTCTTTTGTCTAATTCGCTACTTGCAATTCCCTCTGTTGACTTTGTACCAAATGTTCCCGTGGTTCTTCCCAGGTTTTTATATAGCTGGAATCATACAAAACCTTTTTCAGAGATGATTTTTCGGGTGATTGTGGAAATGGTTTTGTCGCATTTATTTTAGCAACATAAGCAAAATCAGTATCGAAATTGTCTACCCGTCGGGTTAGAGAACCACGTCTTGGAGATTTCAAAGATTCTTTTGTCATCTGCGATGATGTGGCCATTGGTAAAACCATGGTCAAACGCCGATTCCATACCGGCGGCGGTCCAATCAGAATGCAGGATTCGAAAATATTGAGGTAGAATAGTCCTTACCTCAGTTCCGTCCTTGATTCCATTCGGTAGTCTTATAGTCTCCTCATCAAAGATGGCCTCCTTGCCGTCGGCGGTAAACACTGCCCCTTTTAGTGTTAGCTGAAAACATGTCGAAATCTGTCTGAGCTGAACATCACTTGTACTATATATGGAATCCCGTTAAAGCACATGTTTTTATACCCATTCTTGGGAAGTGAAATGCATGGGGCTTGCATAACAATCTACTTTTGCATGGAATGCATGCTTTTCTGTAGCAGTTGCGTTTTTGTGACTTGATTCCATACATGTACTTTAATACTGAAAACCAAACTTTGCTTGTTTGAAAAATACACTAAAATATTGGTGTCACAGGAACTTTTGTTGTTGAGTATATTTCAGAATTCTCATCTCTCTCAGATACTGAACAGATAAAACCATGTTTAATAATAATAATTCATTATCTATATGATTGAAAATAGTACAAGCGCGATAAAAAATATCCATAGGTAGCAGACGTGTAATAATGATATCAGGCAATTATTTGCACTGCTAACCTTGTGTAAATATCATTCTACAGTGAATTTTGAAAATACTCGAGTCTAATAGGTCAATCAGAGATTACTAATCCCACAAACCACCTCTCCTGCTATGACGGCCGCATCACCGCGGAAGCATATATTACAGAAAATGTACTCAATCAAGTCAACAGCTTTACTCAGTGACGTCAGAAATTCTATTTATATCTCAAGAAGAGTTGGGTGATTTAATCAAAATAATTGTATTGTCAATTAGGAGATTGGTAGATTTAACCGCTCCAAATTGATTTTATTCGCGTTCAGTTTTAAATATTTAAGTTAGCGCGGTTATATCTACAGGTGACCTAGCTTTACATTTAAAACACAGTATGCTTATGTTCATTCTACCATGACTAAATAAAAAGCAAATTCTATTGGGTCCAAAGTTTATGAGCAGGTTGTCGATCTGAATTAAGTAAACATCGACAGTAGCCGTTAACCAAAGTATGGCCCTGTATTTGCACATCGTACGCGTAATACTATATGCCTATATGACCAGCATTGAAAGTGTGCAAGAATAACTACGTGTAAGAAGACCAGGTGAAATTACCCCTGACCCTAACAGTAGCGCTAAATCAATTGTCCCTAAACATGAACTACTGAACTAACTGTCGATTTCATGTTTCCGGCCCAAAACATATTGTTACACATACTACGGTTATTGTAGTAACCGTATCCGCATTTCGCAAGCAACAGTTGTGCCTATGGGTATTTCAAAATGCCTACCGACAATGACTGAGAACCTATTCTGTAACACTGGCTTCGGCCGTCATATCGGCACTTCCGTTTAGAGGTGGTTGTTATTAGAAACCTCTGACTGACCTATTAGAATCGAGTATTTCATGGTGGAACAGATATTAATATAGTACCTACTTTTGTGAAGAAATCAATATGTACACGATTTACAGTATATTTCGTCTGACGATAAATCGTTGTCTGAAGGAATCTGAGAAAGCCACTTAACGAGCCGTGGTATGAGCAAGTCTAGCTTCACGGAACGACTCAAATCAAACGGCATAGAGCCACGTTAGCTCCACACCATCAATAGTTGGGCTTTGTTGCTTTCCTCTTCGCTCGCTGTTCTTTGGCATAACAAGGCATCGACTACTGTCGACATGATTGTTCTCTGTGTGCCCGACTCCAATAACTAAACACTAATCACGAAATCCCTTGTTAAATTTCCGCCTCACCACATGTCGCTGAGTCAACGGAAAGATAATTCTGATTACGTGTTTTCTCATCTCCGGTTCATACTTACAACACCATCCTTAAGGATCGAATGGGCCCCAACAGGTTCGCTGCAACCGGCTTTCTGTCAAATATAATGAAATAGTTTGTCAGAGGTGTCAGGGAAGTATGCACGTGGTTGTATCTGTGTACCGAATATACACCAATACTCCGGCTACACAATATTCGTGCTGTACGAGAACAATGAAACAGACTATTTCGTTTTTATGCTATTTAAGATCATTCATGACAGTTCGTTTCCTTTCCAGCCAAGCCTTGTTTGCGGCTTACGGAGAGGGGCGGACATGAGTATACATTGTTTGGGATCTTTACAGATGGATGTATTAGACAGCGCAATCTGAATGAAATTATTTTTTTCTCAAATTGTTATTGTTTAAATTTATGTTGTATCATTATAAATACCATGGCTATATTTATGTCCGAATCAAAACCAAACCAATCATGTTAACTTTGTAGATAAAACTCCGTCTTTAATCCTCCATTTCGCAAGTGCAGTTTATTCACATGGCACAGGAGTAAATATTATGAAAAGAATCGAGGAAGGTTTGAACCAGTTTGGGGGCTAAAGATGACTACCTTTACATAACAAGAAATAGCAAGTCGATCAGAAATGCTTCCAATATATTGAAAAGCCTTATCATACCACCATGCGAAATAAATACGAAGAAGAGAACGTAAAATCCCGTACGGAAAGCTGTGACTAAATGTTAACAAGCATCTTTCCACATACCTCCATGTACACCCGTACCCTCATACACCTCTGTGTTATACACCTGTACCCTCATACACCTCTATTTTATACACCTGTACCCTCATACACCTCTGTGTTATACACCCGTACCCTCATACACCTCTGTGTTATACACCTGTACCCTCACACACCTCTATTTTATACACCTGTACCCTCATACACCTCTGTGTTATACACCCGTACCCTAATACACCTCTGTGTTATACACCTGTACCCTCATACACCTCTATTTTATACACCCGTACCCTCATACACCTCTGTGTTATACACCCGTACCCTCATACACCTCTATTTTATACACCTGTACCCTCATACACCTCTGTGTTATACACCCGTACCCTCATACACCTCTGTGTTATACACCTGTACCCTCATACACCTCTGTGTTATACACCCGTACCCTCATACACCTCTGTGTTATACACCTGTACCCTCATACACCTCTATTTTATACACCCGTACCCTCATACACCTCTGTGTTATACACCTGTACCCTCATACACCTCTATTTTATACACCCGTACCCTCATACACCTCTGTGTTATACACCCGTACCCTCATACACCTCTGTGTTATACACCCGTACCCTCATACACCTCTGTGTTATACACCTGTACCCTCATACACCTCTATTTTATACACCCGTACCCTCATACACCTCTGTGTTATACACCTGTACCTTCAAACACCTCTATTTTATACACCCGTACCCTCATACACCTCTGTGTTATACACCCGTACCCTCATACACCTCTGTGTTATACACCTGTACCCTCATACACCTCTATTTTATACACCCGTACCCTCATACACCTCTGTGTTATACATCCGTACCCTCATACACCTCTGTGTTATACACCCGTACCCTCATACACCTCTGTGTTATACACCTGTACCCTCATACACCTCTATTTTATACACCCGTACCCTCATACACCTCTGTGTTATACACCTGTACCCTCATACACCTCTATTTTATACACCTGTACCCTCATACACCTCTATTTTATACACCCGTACCCTCATACACCTCTGTGTTATACACCTGCACCCTCCCATACCTCTCTATGTATACACCTGCACCCTCCCATTCCACTCTATGTTATACACCTGCACCCTCCCAAACCTCTCTATGTTATACACCTGCATCCTCCCACTCCACCCTATGTATACACCTGCACCCTCCCAAACCTCTCTATATATACACCTGCACCCTCCTATACCACCCTATGTTATACACCTGCATCTTCCCACTCCACCCTATGTATACACCTGCACCCTCCCATACCTCTCTATGTATACACCTGCACCCTCCCATACCTCTCTATGTATACACCTGCACCCTCCCATACCTCTCTATGTATACACCTGCACCCTCCCATACCTCTCTATGTATACACCTGCACCCTCCCATACCTCTCTATGTATACACCTGCACCCTCCCATACCTCTCTATGTATACACCTGCACCCTCCCATACCACCCTATGTTATACACCTGCATCCTCCCACTCCACTCTATGTATACACCTGCACCCTCCCATACCTCTCTATGTATACACCTGCACCCTCCCATACCTCTCTATGTATACACCTGCATCCTCCCACTCCACCCTATATATACACCTGCACCTTCCCATACCTCTCTATGTGTACACCTGCACCCTCCCATACCTCTCTATGTATACACCTGCACCCTCCCATACGACCCTATGTATACACCTGCACCATCCCATACCTCTCTATGTATACACCTGCACCATCCCATACCTCTCTTTGTATAACCTGCATCCTCCCACTCCACCCTATGTATACACCTGCACCCTCCCATACCTCTCTATGTATACACCTGCACCCTCCCATACGACCCTATGTATACACCTGCACCATCCCATACCTCTCTATGTATACACCTGCACCATCCCATACCTCTCTTTGTATAACCTGCATCCTCCCACTCCACCCTATGTATACACCTGCACCCTCCCATACCTCTCTATGTATACACCTGCACCCTCCCATACCTCTCTATGTATAACCTGCACTCTCCCATACCACTCTATGTTATACACCTGCACCCTCCCATACCACCCTATGTTATACACCTGCACCCTCCCATACCACCCTATGTTATACACCTGCACCCTCCCATACCACCCTATGTTATACACCTGCACCCTCCCATACCACTCTATGTATACACCTGCACCCTCCCATACCACTCTATGTTATACACCTGCACCCTCCCATACCACTCTATGTTATACACCTGCACCCTCCCATACCACTCTATGTTATACACCTGCACCCTCCCATACCACCCTATGTATAACCTGCAACCTCCCATACCACCCTATGTTATTCACCTGCACTCTCCCATACCACCCTATGTTTTACACCTGCACCCTCCCATACCACCCTATGTTATACACCTGCACCCTCCCATACCTCTCTATGAATATTGAAGAGCCTCCAAAACCACTCTATGAATACACCTGCACCCATCCATAACCCTCTATGGATACACCTGCACCCTCCCATACCACTCTATGTATACACTTGCACCCATCCATAACCCTCTATGTATATATTTGCACTCTCCCATACCACTCTATGTTTACATCTGCTCCTTCCATAACCCTCTATGTATACACCTGCACCCTCCCATACCACTCTATGTATGCACCTGCACCTTTCCATAACACTCTATGTATACACCTGCACCCTCCCATATGAACTCTATGTATGCACCTGCACCTTTCCATAACCTCTATGTATACACCTTCACCTTCCGATACCACTCTATGTATACACCTGCATTCTCCCATACCACTCTATGAATACACCTGCACCCTCCCATACCACTCTATGTATGCACCTGCACCTTTCCATAACCTCTATGTATACACCTGCACCCTCCCATACCACTCTATGTTATACACCTGCACTCTCCCATACCACTCTATGTATACACCTTCACCTTCCTATACCACTCTATGTATACACCTGCACTCTCCCATACCACTCTATGCATACACCTGCACTCTCCCATACCACTCTATGAATACACCTGCACCCTCCCATACCACTCAATTTATGCACCTGCACCTTCCTATACCACTCTATGTTATACACCTGCACTCTCCCATACCACTCTATGTATACACATTCACGTTCCTATACCACTCTATGTATACACCTTCACCTTCCTATACCACTCTATGTATACACCTGCACCTTCCGATACCACTCTATGCATACACCTGCATTCTCCCATACCACTCTATGAATACACCTGCACCCTGCCATACCACTCAATTTATGCACCTGCACCTTCCTATACCACTCTATGTTATACACCTGCACTCTCCCATACAACTCTGTGTATACACATTCACCTTCCTATACCACTCTATGTATACACCTGCACTCTCCCATACCACTCTATGTATTCACCAGGCCACTCCCATACCACTCTATGTATTCACCAGGCCACTCCCATACCGCTCTATGTATACACCTGTACCCTCCCATACGACCCTATGTATACGCTTCTATGTAAACTATGTATGCCCCATCATAACACTGTCTACTCATACTTCAGCCCATCATAAAGCAATCTACGTATATTTGAGCAACATCATTACGCTCTTTCGGGCTCCATCAAACATCCACCTGTCTTCGGTCTCCATCATAACGCCATCTACGTATACTTGAACCCACCAGAAGGCCATCTACTTATACTTGAACCGATCATAACGCCATCTACTTATACTTGAACCCATCATGACGCATTCTACGTATACTTGAACCCATCATAACGCCAATTACTTATACTTGAACCCATCATAACGCCACCTACTTATACTTGAACCTATCATAACGCCACCTTCTTATACTTGAACCCATCATAACGCCATCTACTTATACCATCTACTAATACTTGAACCCATCATAACTCCATCTACGTATACTTGAACCCACCACAAGGCCATCTACTTATACTTGAACCGATCATAACGCCATCTACTTATACTTGAACCCCTCATAACGCTTCCTACTTATACTTGAACCCATCATAACGCATTCTACGTATACTTGAACCCATCATAACTCCATCTTCTTATACTTGAACCCATCATAACGCAACCTACTTGTACTTGAACCAATCATAAAGCCACCTTATTATACTTAGACCCATCCTAACGCCATCTACTTATACTTGAACCCATCCTAACGCCATCTACGTATACTTGAACCCATCATAACGCCATCTACTTATACTATCTACTTATACTTGAAACCACCATAACGCATTCTACGTATACTTGAACCCATCATAACGCCATCTTCTTATACTTGAACCCATCATAACGCAACCTACTTATACTTGAACCAATCATAAAGCCACCTAATTATACTTAGACCCATCATAACGCCATCTACTTATACTTGAACCCATCATAACGCATTCTACGTATACTTGAACACATCATAACGCCATCTTCTTATACTTGAACCCATCATAACGCCACCTCCTTATACTTGAACCAATCATAAAGCCACCTAATTATACTTTGACCCATCATAACGCCATCTACTTATACTTGAACCCATCATAACGCATTCTACGTATACTTGAACACATCATAACGCCATCTACTTATACTTGAACCCACCATAACGCATTCTACGTATACTTGAACCCATCATAACGCCACCTTCTTATACTTGAACCCATCATAACGCCACCTACTTATACTTGAACCTATCATAACGCCACCTTCTTATACTTGAACCCATCATAACGCCATCTACTTATACCATTTACTAATACTTGAACCCATCATAACGTAATCTACATATACTTGAACCCATTATTACGCCATCTACTTATACTTGAACCCATCATAACGCCACCTACTTATACCATCTACTAATACTTGAACCCATCATAACGTAATCTACTTATACTTGAACCCATCATAACGTAATCTACTAATACTTGAACCCATCATAACGCCACCTACTTATACTTGAACCAATCATAACGCCACCTACTTATACTTGAACCCATCATAACGCCACCTACTTATACTTGAACCCAACATACCGCCATCTACTTATACTCGAACTCATCTTAACGCCATCTACTTATACTTAGACCCGTCATAACGCCATCTACTTATACTATTACCCACCATAACGCCACCTACTTATACTTGAACCCGTCATAACGCCACATACTTATACTTGAACCCACCATAACGCCACCTACCTATACCTGAACCCATCATAACGCCATCTACTTATACTTGAACCCATCACAACGCCATCTTCTTATACTTGAACCGATCATAACGCCACCTACTTATACTTGAACCCATCATTACGCCACCTACTTATACTTGAACCCATCATAACGCCACCTACCTATACCTGAACCCATCATAACGCCATCTACTTATATCCTAGCAAAATCGTCACGCCGTCTACGATTACTTCTGCCACATCGCCACCAATCAGACGTACCAATCTCTTTTGGTAGGCCCTCTCTGCCACAACTCGGAGCGCCGTGTCTCTGTGATGAAGGTTGTCCAGCAGATTTAGTCCATCTACGTCGTTTGCTCGACATTCTACAGCTAGTGCGGCCTGACTCACAGCGTACATGCACTCTTCAGGGGACAGGATCTGAATAGGAAACAACACTTAACGTCCGTTTGAGATACGAACTGGAGCATCCGTAGGTGTGATGGACAAATATATACCAGATGTTACACGGTGGGGGGGGGGGGGGGGGGGGGAATAGGCGTATGTCGGCGTATGTTCGCCCAGGAACACGTAGTTCAGTCGGACCAAGAACAGGCAAACCGGTGTCAGTATTAGTGGTACGTCTTCTTCAGCCAGATCACAGCTGACCTGTTCAGCAGGTTACCCGTCCAAGCGCTTCAAACACGCTGCACCTTTTGTGCGCGATGGAAATAAATCTTCAGTTCATACAATTGCACTGCCATCTGCGTGAAACTCACTCGCCATCATCCCCATCTGACACACCTATGACGTATCTCCTACCTGTGCCGCGTGACAAAAAGTTATCCTCGATGGATCAACCTATGTCGCATGACTCACCTGTGGCGTTTGATCAACCTATGCCGCATGGATTTCCTATGACGTGTGATCAACCTATGAAGCGGGACTCCCCTGTGACGTACTCAAACTATGATGCATGACTCCATCGTGATGTTTGATCAAACTCTGATGTATGACTCACCCGTGATGTTTGATGAAACTCTGATGCATGACGCCACCGTGATGTTTGATCAAACTCTGATGCATGACTCCACCGTGACGTTTGATGAAACTCTGATGCATGACTCACCTGTGATGTTTGATCAAACTCTGATGTATGACTCACCCGTGATGTTTGATGAAACTCTGATGCATGACTCGCCTGTGATGTTTGATTAAACTATCATGCATGACTCACCTGTGATGTTTGATCAAACTATGATGCATGACTCACCTCTGATGTTTGATCAAACTGTGATGCATGACTCACATGTGATGTTTGATCAAACTATGATGAATTACTCATGTGTGACGTTTGATCAACCATTGTGTGATACTGTGGCGAGGTCAAAGGCATCGGCCATCGTCTGACAGATATTACCCTCGCGTGACTCACCTGTGAGGTTCGCTTCTCGTACTCCGCGCCCATCCTTTCAAGCGCCGCGGCAGCCAGACACAACCCATCATACTGACCGCTCTCGTCCAGCTTCTGCATACGCCCGTCTATGTTGCCGCGCTGACCGAGGTTAAGGTATTATTAACTGAGTATGAATCTCGTCTTAACTGAGGAAATAGGGAATATGTATGTATGCCCCTAAAAACAAAAGCATATAAAAAGTGTTTTAGGGAGACAGGGAGACAGGGAGAAATTTTTAGAGCGATGGAGAGATACCGCTAAGTTTTTATTGTTGAGTCATTTTGATGTCAAAAGTATACACACTAAGGAAGAATTTAATTTGAAAATTAGTTTCATGTGTTTCGTGACACATACCGAAACGAGGTGAAAAAGAAAGAATATTATCAGCATTATTATTACTGTGAAACACATAGGCCCCGTGAACACTGGCCCGGTGACATAGACTGAACCGCAAAAGAAACGTCACCATGAACAGATATATGAGAAACCTTATTTGTCCGAACACTGTAAAAATACTTTGAGACATATTAAAAAGATGAAACTTGGCAAAACTGATCATCAAGGTTGAAATTAAAGTGTCAAATGTTCTTAAAGTGAAACACAACACTAGTCACTGAGAAAATTGCATCACAAGTCAGTATCTCGTGTGTCCGCCATGTGCATTGATGACTGTCGTGCAACGTCGATACATGGAATGGATGAGTTGGTTGATGAAGGCCATAGGCACTTGAGCCCACACTCTCAGGAACGCCTGACGCAGTTCAGCTGCGGTTGTTGGACTTGGTCGGACGTCATTCAGCCGTCTTTGAATCTCGTCCCACAGGTGCTCAATGGGATGTAAATCAGGTCTGAGGGGAGGCCACTGCATGGTTCTGATGCCATTCTTCTGGAGGAAGTCTCTTGTTGCTCTCGCAGTGTTGGCACGGGCGTTATCATGCTGAAACTCGTTGTTGCGGCGACGTGCAAAATGAGGTATAGCTTGTGGTCTCAAGACTTGGGTCAATATACCGAGCAGCTGTGACACCATTGCCTCTCCCTGGACCGATGTTCTTGAAGACCACAGGGCCGACCCTCTGTGCAAGACCAATTCCACCCCACACCATGATGCTCGGTCCACCCCACGAGTCTCTCAACAACACAAGCATCCGAATAACGTTCCCAACGGCGTCGCCAGACTCTCTCTCTCTCTCTCTCGCTCTCTCTCTCTCTCTCTCTCTCTCTCTCTCTCTCTCTCTCTCTCTCATTCCGCCATCTGCTGTTGAGATACAGTAACGGCTCTCGTCTGAGAAGAGGACTCTTCTCCACTGCTGGTGGCGCCAATGCTGGTGCTGTATTGCCCAAGACGGTCCCGGCGATGACGTGGTGTCAGAATGGGTCCTCGGTATGGCCTGTGACAGTGGAGGTGTCTGCTCGTCAATCGTCGACGCACGGTGTCCGCACTAATGTGTCGCTGGTGTGTCCCCATGGTCTGTTTCCGCAGCAGTAACAAAGCGATCTTGAAGATGCTGCCGCACAATCTGACGATCCTCACGTCGGGTGGTGACCCTTGGTCTTCCACTTCGTGGTCGGTCATCTGTAGTGTTGGTGGTCTGGTACCGTTGCTGGAGCCTGTATATGGTCCTTACGTGGACTTGAAATACATTGGCTACTTGCCGGGCGGTTTGTCCAGCGTGCAATCGCCCAAGGGTTTGACGGTGTCGCTAATATCTTGTCAATCTTGGCATGTGGAAGCAATTCAAAAACGAATGAATGTTATCCGATCTGGTTGGATTTTTATAGGGCAAGAAATGGGGGTACGCATGTGCATTTCAATTTGCACGGAACTGACGTGCTTCGTGTTACCATGGCCGTTGCCGTGATGTGTTTGGGCGATCGGTTTTATTGTCATCTGCTTTGTTTTTTTATCATCAAATTTCATTTTCCGACAAGGGAATGTTAAATTTTAGAAACTTTGACAAAAATTACCAAGATAATTAAATGACAACTTTTCATGCAATGTTACATGGGGTGACGTTTCTTTTGCGGTTCAGTATATATTCGTATATATTGTTTTTATGCGTTTATCATATCGTTACATTTCAATCCCCGAACTCCATGAACACACAATGTGAATGTTGGTTTACATGTGTGTACACTGCATGTGGGTATCTACATTGAAGGATACAATATCATATATCTTTAAATGTGGGTAACTTCTCCTGATCTGGGCCGCACGTCTCAACGAGCTTGTTCCAATTACACTGTAAAGAGAAATATACAATAGAAGCGGTCAGGTGTTGGTCCGTGCAGTGGTCAGTCTCATTGTAACTACATAACGCGGTTGTCAACGCTTCGCCTTCCAAAGTCAGAATTGGGAGTTGCATTTCAGAGCTGGTTCGGACTTTTTATGTTTCAAAACAAACATTAGAAATTGAGATATAGCTGGTATGGGAGAGCGAGGTTTAGCTTTTGTGCTTTTTCTCCTGTGTTGATCTCAGTGCGAAAAGCCGTCCTTGCAAACGGTATACAGGTCCTGGCTCGCACTACTAAGAATTTCTACATAATGGTAGCTAAAGCAAACAACTGGACTTTGTACTTGTACTTCCAAAATCAGTTGAAACACGTGAATCTAGAGGGTTGGGTTAAGGTTTAGCATTTTGCATCTTACAAACCGGAACACGAGATCCCTGTTCCGGTACGGATGAATACCATGTCAGCTGAGAGGCCGCATTGTGTGCTTTGTGTCTGGGGCTGACGGCCATACAGTTACAATGTACGCCTCACGCGTGGACAACGATGTGTCGTGTTTATGTAATGATGACTCCTACATGTTAAGGAACTACATACCTACAGAAACACACAGCTCCTTGTTTAGCACGGAATAAACACTGTTTTACGTAATGCAGGGCATACATATGTGGGACGATCTAACAAGCAGAAAAATACAAACTGAACGGAAGATTTCTTACTGAGATAAAACAACTATAATTATCTAGTTTCGAAATATGTGACCTCTGTAGTATTTCCGCCTGTGACTCTGTGACCAATAACCCCAATAAAGCACACGGTTGCGAATGGTTATAATTCCCCGCTTATCTATCCTTGACCCACATTACACAAATAACACATTGCTTGTATAAGGAGAGGAAAATTTTGCTCCACATGTGAGTCAGGTATTTGAGTATGTGTACAGGGTATAAATCATCCGATGGTATCAGTGTTATACAACATGAAGGTTATGTATAGCTTGGGCCTGGGTCTGGGCCTGGTCCGCCCCCAGCTAGGGTAGCCACGCCATAATATAACTGCAGGAGGTATGTGCTCTTACTACTTCAACGTTTTCGGAGGTGTGTAAAACATGTATGTAGGATCAAGTGGGTTCAGTGCACACTACCCCTCGCACCTATTTCAGTGCGTGACTTGGTGGGTGTATTGAGTCAATATGCCAGTGATTGAGTGAGTTGGATTTATCGCCGCTTTCAATAGTATTCCAGTAATATCACGGCGTGTGGGAGGAAAGCCCGAAGTGATGCAGGTCTCAGAGGTTTACCACTTTGGTGAAACCCACGGGCAAGAATATGGTGCTGACAAACCTAGAAACATAATCGGGTCGAACCGGGATTCGAACCCACAACCATAGGCTTCTCACGTAGCATCATGTATATCATATTCAATTACAAGACGTACCTTCCGTTTGGCAAAGTTGCAAGGGTATGGCCATGATTTTGGGGACTCATCACAATGGCATCACGCGGATTTGCTCTCCTGGTTAACATAACAGACAAGAAAAACATGAAGGTGTTTAAGTCAGCCAGTTGTGGTAAAGGTAATCAGCCGCTGTGTGGGTTGTGTAACTAAACCCATTGCCTTTAGTGTGTTCGGGAGTTAAAATTTAACGTATCATCGGCATTATTTCAGACATATAGCGACGAAAATAACTTTTATTATCTGCAAGCATGCCATATAAATACAGAGTTATATTTAAAAGAAAATGTGTCACACATATTTTAGCATATGGAGAGAAAATGGAGGTTGGACGTACTCCAGTATACTGCCAAGCACGAGGCCATGAGGCAGAGATGTGGACACGTCCTTCAAAGAGTGGACGATCATGTCCACTCTACCGCTCTTCAGAGAGTTTTCTAGCTCCAGTGTCCAGAGTGCAGACTCCCCAATCTGAAGTAATATCATCACTACAATCAATATGGTCAGCTGAGTGAGTGCATAAAACCAGGCACCCGGGCACACAAGTACACTGCTAAAGTGTCTTCAGATCCAAATACAAACCCGAACACGTTCCTTGTTTACCATCTAAGCATGTTTTAGATTTAAAATATGTTCATAATATAAACGTGTTTAGAACCAAACATTCTTCATAATATTTCGATTAAGTATATGCAGTTAATCTGTTGTAAACATACGTACTTCTTTCTGACGCACGAACGGAAGCTAAATGCCGTATGCCACTATGAAATATATTTCCCACATTTCTAAAAATGTTTAAATTATGGAAATGCTGTAGACGTGGAATGAGATGTTCTTACATGTTTTAGATCTGAAATGTGGTTAAATAAAACATGTAAACCTTTCTTCCGTTAAGGGTTCAAACATCCTTAACACGTCTCCAGCTATACATGTACATGTCTTCATGTTTGATACTGGTCAGCATATAGAGCGGCAGCCCAGAGCACTTTGGTCAAACGAACAAGGTACCAATATCCGAACACAGGAACATTTACTGTGTAACGCAACATATTCATATATGGATGTCTGCCGGGGAGCCCCTGCTGCGTGTGGCCCCTGGCCCCCCAAAAGAAGGGGCCATTCAAGGGCTGGATCAAACATTGGAGGTACCACATGAAAGTAAGTGTAAATGAACTGTTACATCTCACAGAGTACAGAATGGGCCACGCCAGACAAATCTTCCTCTGCATAAGGCCCGCCAGACCCCCCAAAGAGGGTCCCAAAATTTGGGCTGGGTTAAACATTGGAGGTACCACATGAAATCAACATAAAATGAACTATTTCACTCTACTAAGAATAAAAACCCCATTGCCAGACAAATCGTCTGCTGCATAAGGCCCGCCAGACACCCCCAAATGTTGACCCTTAATGCACTCAGTGGACACTCTGGTAAAATTTGACCGGAGTATACATTCAAAGTACCACCAGATGAAAGTAAGTTTAGATCAACAGGTACATCTTACTGAGTACAACACAGCCCATACCTGACAAATTGTCCTCTGCATAAGGTCCGCCAGACCCCCCAGAGAGGGTCCCAAAATTTGGGCTGGGTTAAACATTGGAGGTACCACATGAAACCAACATAAAATGAACAATTGCACTCTACTTATTGCACAATACCCATTGCCAGACAAATCATCTTCTGCATAAAGCCCGCCAGACACCCACAAAAAGTTGACCCTTCAGGTATGCACGGGTAAAATTGGTCTGGAATATATATCGATTGTACCACATTAAGGTACGTTTGAATGAACAGGTTCATATCACAGCGTACAGAATGGGCCACACCAGATAAATCTTCCTCTGCATAAGGCTTAAACATTGGAGGTATCACATGGAACCAACATAAAATGAACTATTACACTTTACTTCTTACAAAATACCCATTGCCAAACAAATCCTCTTCTGCATAAGGCCCGCTAGACAGACCCTCACCCCACCCCACACAGTTGACCCTCTGTAATCCCAGTGTGCATAATGAAACATTGGACATCAGCTCTGAGAGTCAACAGATGGTCAAATTTATGTTTTGTTCTTAAAGATGGAAGGATTTTATTGAGATTAAAATCACGTATTTATAAAATCAGGTCTCTGAATACTAGTATTGATATCATAGATTAGGCCTATCGTTGAAATGTAATAAAAAAAAGGCATGAATCTGATTCTTGTGAATATATATCTGATCAGCTATGAATTCCTCAAAGCCTGCTATAGCCTGATAGCTTGGCTATGGATTCCTACAAACCCAAACATGCTTAGGCAGTCCTCAAAGCCTGCTATAAGAATGGTAAATGACAGTCCCTAATACCATTTGGAAATCTTTTGGTGATAATTGTGTTTAAAAACCTATGATCTCCGTTCATTTAGCAAGTTTTATCATCTAAAAAGCTGAATTCCGGCCAAATATTTCCATATTTATGGTCGGTCCCGAAAAGTTTATCGTATCGAGAAACCTAACAAAATCGTGGCACAGACCTGTGTGAAAATATCAAGTTTGTCAGGTCACGGAAAGAGATGAACAGGGTTTGGTGACACGAAAAGATTAATGTTCTATTCTTGATGTATTTTCGTCCTGATCTTTACAACTTTTCTCGGAGTGTCACGGTTGGATACAAAAATATTTTTCTGTTCAAAAGAGAAGGGCCGTTACTGATATTCACCTCGTCAAAACTATCGTACCACCAAATGTGAAATGTAATTACCCATCATGTTTTATGATTTTGTTCTTGTTGTTAAATGTAAATGTATGTTCATAATGTGACATGGTTTTGATTTCAATACTCAAATATCTGTTATGAAACCTCCACTATATATCTAAATGTTCACAAGGCCTTACGTCTCAGATTTGCCATCTATCTGTTTGAATAAACGTCTTACACTAGACAGAGAGTCATGATATTGGCGCGTGAGCTGTGCCACGGTTAAATGTGTTTAGACTTCTATCCCAGGATGACCTAGTGTACATACATACATACATACATACATACATACATATATATATATCTGTTTTTGAATACCCTCAATAAAGAAGGGAAAGCCATACACAATAAATTTAACTTCTTTTTTTCTGAGGTGTGTGACAAATCGACATCAAGCTTCCCTTGAAAACTTTTCTTACCTCCCGGTAAAATGCCAAAAAATGTTGCATTAACCTGATCCATTCAGGGTGTTTTCCACAACACAAAATTCTAAACAAGCAATTGTTGATCTGTCACCATTGACTGAATTTTGTATAAATTCCCATATAATTGTTACCATAGAGCTGTGTTTTCAAGCAAATGTGAATTCTTTTGTTAAAAAAAAAGCCGTTTCCAAACCACACCTAGCCTTTTCTTTTCTGCCAACCTCTGAATGCAAATATGAAATCTTAATAATAGTGCTACTGACGTTATAATCCCAATATAACTTGAAGCATTTATCAAATCATAAAACACTTTGAACTGAATAAACATGATCATACATGAAGGTCGTGAGAAACCTTCCTTTGACACACCCTGGTTTGTCTTGGCATTGTAACTATCTTAATGGCGTGATTTCCCACTTGAACTAGAATTAACATGATCATACTTGCAGGTCATGAGAACCTGTTTCTTGGACCCCCCTGGTTTGTATTGCAATTGTTATAATCTGAAGGCGCGACCCCCCAGTGTGGTACCTCCAATGTTTAACCCAGCCCAAATTTTGGGACCCTCTCTGGGGGGTCTGGCGGACCTTATGCAGAGGACAATTTGTCAGGTATGGGCTGTGTTTTACTCAGTAACATGTACCTGTTGATCTAAACTTACTTTCATCTGGTACTTTGAATGTATACTCTGGTCAAATTTTACCAGAGTGTCCACTGAGTGCATTAAGGGTCAACATTGGGGGGTGTCTGGCGGGCCTTTGCAGCAGACGATTTGTCTGGCAATGGGGTTTTTATTCTTAGTAGAGTGAAATAGTTCATTTTATGTTGATTTCATGTGGTACATCCAATGTTTAACCCAGCCCAAATTTTGGGACCCTCATTGGGGGTGTCTGGCAGGCCTTTTGCAGAGGAAGATTTGTCTGGCGTGGCCCATTCTGTACTCTGTGAGATGTAACAGTTCATTTACACTTACTTTCATGTGGTACCTCCAATGTTTGATCCAGCCCTTGAATGGCCCCTTCTTTTGGGGGGCCAGGGGCCACACGCAGCAGGGGCTCCCCGGCAGACATCCATATATGAATATGTTGGGTTACACAGTAAATGTTCCTGTGTTCGGATATTGGTACCTTGTTCGTTTGACCAAAGTGCTCTGGGCTGCCGGTCTAATATTACAGTGTGGTGATGTGTCAGCAGTGATCAAGCGCTAGTCGTGGTACGGTGATCATCCATATGCGATGATCTTAGCAAGTCTCATAATGTTGATATGCCTGTGAAAGTCATAACATCAAGATCGTAATGGGAATCAGCTTTATATTTCAATAACGTTAAGTATGTAGCGGAAACTATTTCTGCATGCATTATGTAAACCTTGAAACCCTCTTTGTAGCTGAATTAAATTAGCTGACATGTATTTATTGATATATGATTTATTAATAAATGATAATTTGAAATAGTAATATACGAAAACTCTATGTGGTGTTCTTCGATAACGTGGTGGGTGCCTTAAAATGCCACTGTTTTCTTACCTTAACTATGGACTGACTCAAATCTCTATCTCCAGGAGTTGACATGGTAACTGAATAACACAAAACAAATCAGATATAAGCATTTTACATAGATTATAAGTTGACTTCTTTGTTTCGATTTAGCAGACTGTGGTGCCCGGCAAATACCTACCTGTTTCAAACTGTATATCTGGGCGGTGCTCCTGAAGTTTCGATACCAAGTAGTTGGATTGAATAAGTGCGAGCTGAAAATGGTAATAAAGGACATGTGTTATACATTGCATGATGCTCACGGAGTGGAAATAACAAAGAGATAACTCTCCTACCTACGGATGGCCGGCTGCTGCGAGTGTGTCAAGACATTACATAAATACTACAAATGGACAGTTTATTTCCATAATATCCAATACCATAACGTTTGTTTGTTTGTGTTTTAACGCCGCACTCAGCAATATTCCAGCTATATGACGGCGGTCTGTAAATAATCGAGTCTGGACCAGACAATCCTGTGATTGATATGAGCATCGATCCACGCAGTTTGGATACGATGACATGCATCAACCAAGTCAGCGAGCCTGACCACCCGATCCCGTTAGTTGCCTTTTACGACAAGCACGGGGTGCTGGAGATCTATTCATTGCATGCCAACCAGTCAACACATTCACACTGAGGTACAACCACAAACTCGACCCACTTAGTCGCCTCTACTTGTTTCAGCAACCACCCCACTAGCCACCACCCCCTTTATAAATGTTTTTTTATACGGAATGTAATTATCCACAATGTATGACATAAATAAAACTGTTTCATTTATTAAACGATCCAAGTCAGCATATTTGATGACCGTTAAATACCGAGAAGGCAGGATTGGATCGGCCCTGGAGATCCATATTGTAATTAAGTCTCAACTTCTACTTTTCGCTTGCAGTAGACACAATGTCTATATGTACATACACAGTCCACACTCCTATCTCAGTTTACATATAGACTCAAGTATTGACGTTTCACCAAGTGTGCTACCATGCAGATTGTTACATGAAACACAAACTGTTCGTCGGCGTTTACTTCATGTGATTGTGAATGTTATGTACAGAATGTTCTGTTCTTGAAGATGAACATCTTGTTATATTCAAGTGTCCTTTATAAAAAGATGTACGAGATACATATAGTTAAACAGGTCAACTATCTTAGAACATGCATATCCCAAAAGTTGCAATGCAGAAAAAATGCAGGATCGATGGTCGTACATATTCGACACGTGAAACATGACTAGACGTATAAAAGTGGGGAGGTGCGCGCTAAACGTTGTCGGTCAGCAACTGTTTAGCTGCGACGTCACGCACGACTATAAAATATAACTGGGGCACGACGGAACATCGTCGACGGATAACTTGAAGTAAAACAATTGCAGTCAGCTGTTGGTAGGGTATACAATCTCGGTCAATTTGACATAATGCAGCGAGATCCAGCATACGTTGCACTTAATTGCCCATCCGACCTTGTCACAGCTTTCCATATATTTGCTGAAGAGTCCTACAGAAAACATTTTGTTACGTACAGCAACATTTTCACAGGTTAGATCTGACTAGGAGAGCTGGTAAAAGTTTATGTTCAAAATTCCAGACAATATGATCGACTACATGTTTAGCTTGATAGCTGTTCCAGCGAGTGCACTTAGTGACATGAAGACAATAGGGGCTGTATGCCAGGCTACAGAAGAGGATGAAGTGGCGGTATGAGGACCCGGCGCACTTCTAGCGAATGCACATAGTGACAATAGAAGACAATAGGGGCTGTATGCAAGGCAATAGAAGAGGTTGAAGTGGCAGTTTGACCGTCAACACAACACCCAACACAATTGTGGGTCCGTCCCTGTGTCAGTAGGTCAGGTAAGCGTTACGTTGTTTAATTATATTTGTACAGCTTATCGACTCCGGAATGTGTCCTATATCGGGGAATTACGTATACGGCCTTCACGTTATTCTTCCCCGCCCTTAAGGCGGGGAAGTATACGGGAAACGTTAATTTTGTAGCATGGATGTCGACATGTTGGTTTATTTGAAATTTCAAGCCACGCATTTACGGAAACAAAACTTACAAATCATGTGCGTGGAATGTTGATGCTGTTCTTTTCCAGCTATAAGAGATACTTCAAAATCGTCTTTATGTAGTTGATTGATGCATCTGACCGTTTCTGGTCATTAGCTGACATTATTAAACCATTCATGTGTAATCCGATGTCCTTTTTTCCTCAAGGACTAATTTTCTGATTTTCACGGTGTATACAAAAGAAGAACTGTTCTCCGGAGATCGTAAATAACAGCATAATAAAAAGATTATGTTCTGAATATGCTTATTCATGAACAACGACGACATCTCAATTTAAATGTAATATGGCTGAATTCCACATTCTACATACCACACTTTTGATTGTTTGGATGCTCATGTTGACTGGAAATATTTGGAATAGTTATATTCCGTATTTTGAATTAAACCAGTCCCCCGGTTTTTTTATCAGTGCACCGCACATAGGCACATGTGAAACGTTTGGTAGCAAAGTCAAAGCACGGACGTACGTCTTTGGTCAAAGCAAAATCGGAGTAGTGTGTCGGCGAATTTGCATCAAGGCTGTAGTATTTTTCAACCGTTTAATGGAATTCAATTTACAGCCGTAGCTCGTCACTCATATATTTTGTGTCCCATGGCTCAAATCTATTTGCGTCTGCACCGTGTTCCACTGACCTCGATAATCAGTTGGATGAAGGCACAGCTCTCTACAGTCACATAGTTAACACCGAAGGCTATGAGGTTTTTTTAGGTCATAATCAGTTTTATGGCTCCGTCACAGGTGCTCCAAATATTGAAGCAGGGAAAACAAATTTCATAGAATCATTTCAAAAAGGAATAATGATATCCCCGTCACTTTTGGTAACTTTTAATGATGTCTCCATTGCAATTTTTACGGATTTTGATTCGTATGCATTATTTGATTCTCATCAGCGGAATGGTTTGGGTCAGGAATGCTTCTCGTAAGAAGCGACAAACGGGATCGGATGGACAGGCTTTGGTTGATGCATGGAATCGATCCTAATTGCGTGGATCGATGCTCATGATATTAGGCACTGGATTGTCTGGTCCAGACTCGATTATTTACAGAACGCCGTCATATAGCTGGGATATTGCTGAGTGCGGCGTTAAACAACAAACCAATCAATCATCATCATATGAACCTAAACCAGTCATTGTTACAAGTAAACCACATTCAACAAAAAGTTACTGACACTGGATAAAAAACAATACATAGGAAAAAAAACAAGCAACTCAACTCATCATGATCAGAATTACTATTCTTTGAAAGAAAGAAATACAAAAAGGAAACTGACCAAAAAACGTAAAACAAGAGACGAGGAATCTCCGTTATTGATTAGTCCCGGTATTGAAATGTTCTCCAACTACGTGATAATATTTTGAGTTGTGACCAATAGACCTTATCTAGTATGACTTTTTTGCCATATGGAGCCCTTAGTATTTTCACTTACATTATTATAACCAAATGCCAAGTGTAAAAAGAATGTGATCTATTATTTGAGTATGTGCATCTGCCAATGTTGTTGGCAGTTTTGATACTATTTCCACATGTTTACATTTGTGCCAGAAATTGCTTCCATTTCCTTCGATCTACTTTTTAAATAAAGACCGAGGTTAGAATAGGTTTTCAGCAACCTATACTTGCCGTAAGAGGCGACGAACAGGATTGGGTAGTCAGGCTCGCCGATTTGGTCGATGCATAACATCATATTGCAATTGCGTTGTTCGACGCTCGTGGTGTCAATCACTGGATGATCTGGTCCAGACTTGATTATTTACAGACCGCCGTCATATGGCTGGAATACTGCTTAGTGCGGCGTTAAACAAGAAACTTTTTAAATAGACCTACCCTATGCATATGTATCAACTGTATTGCCCAATACTCAAAACAGCGTTGTGTTATTTGTGGTTAATATAATTATGCTCCATCATGCCTTTCAGTAACATCATAATTATGCGTTTGTGAGGCATCACATATGGCGGGGAACTTTGATGCTCTGCATCAATGTTTTCTTGTTTATTTACTGTAGGCTCAATGATAAAACAATTTCAGCAATACTTTCATTGTTTTGTAACATAATCCTCATATCGACACTCCCTATATCAATCCCTTAATAATGTTCACATTAATAACATTTTTATTTGAAAAAAAGTCGAACTGTGTTATTTTTTTCATGCGCGTTCACCCCATATAATTGTGATAACGTTTCGCGACCCCACCTCGTTCGCTGTCTCATTTTTTCATATATTTTTTTTTCACGCCCCCCAAGCCTCACCTACAGTTAACTATGTACTACAATGCCCAATTACATTTATATAATAAATAATCTATCCTTCACGTCTGCAAAACAAATATTGAAAACGTGTTTTCTGTGAGTTTATTTTAACTGAGTTTGAAGTCTTCTAATTGTTTCCAAAACGATAAACACAAATTCATGGAATCTACTGATTGACCAGGAGCGAAACTTATACCACAAACTCGTCCAGGATAGTGGCATGGAAAACATACATCATCATCACATAATCCTATCATTTCCATAATAATTTTCGGAGATATCTAAGATGTCTTTAGTTCAAAATATTTGATATTCACTTACTTTGCTCTCTCGTGATCCAACTTTAAAGACTCTTTTGGTCGACATATTGGCAGTATAGAGATGAGACGCGGAGGGGTTGACGTGCGCGACAGTTGACGGCGACTATGAAGGAGAGTGAGAGGGATAGGGTACCTTATACCCCTGTTGCTGGACCCCTTATCTAACACGTGGCGGGGCCTGTGTTTGAAAACCCGGAAACAAATGCAAATAATCGGGTGAGTCTATGGAGTGGATCATTAAACTGCTGTTATACAAGACAATGCCAGTAGAATATCCGCTGTGCGGGTCGGGGTGTACTAGACACATTTATATGATCACATGCGAGTATGAACCTTGTGCAGTCAGTCGAACGTACATGTAGTTCCCACGCGTCACCCTAGGCTAGTTAACTTACACAGTGGTCGTATCCATGTAAGGATATATCAGCACTTCTAGTGTGTAGTTAATACAAAACTACTACAACCGCGACGTCTGCGTGAACAAGATGATAACTGTAAATGTGTATTGGTGTCTGGGGGTGGGTGGGGTAAGTAGGGGTGGTGGTGTCAGGTGTGTGTCTT